GAGGGTAAGAGGATTCACCAGAGACAGAGTGGGGAACATAACAGGCAGACTGACTGAAATCCACTGCTGAGGGTAGCAGCGGACGAGACAGGAGTGGTCTACTGTGCCATGTGGGTATCTCTGCCGCCGGCCAGGATCAAACCCGCGCTGCAGAAGCTGCAAACAGCTTCACAGCACTGTGGTCAACCTGCTGTACCATCTGGGAGGCCCTATTTTAGGATAATGTTTGAAACATTGGAGAAATGTAAAAATATTGCTGGATTGTAATGTCTCAGCTTAAACATTTCATCTGGAACTCTGATGTCACAGCCATAGAACAAAGAATATCAACTAGAAAGTGAAAATGGCTAGCTAGTTTTGGCACATAGCAAGCATTTAAGAAATTTTAGCTCGATCTCTATTTTCCAAATGTTTCAAACACCCCTAAACTTATTTCAGTGGAAGAAACTTCTTTCATACCTGCCCTCAAAGGCTTATAGTCTAGTAGAGGAGTCAGTGTGCAAACAAATAAAAGCAATGAAATGTGCAGGATATGGTACAGAGAAAAGAAGGTACTAGTTCATGCTACTTAAAGAAATTGAGAAAGGTAATAGAGATGATGCTTGACCTGAGTCCTAAAAAGAGATGTTTGCCTACTGATCTATTATGGGCAGAAGGACAGCATGTGTAAAGGCTCCAGGGGTAGGAAAATAGCTTGGAAATTTTAGGGAACTGCAATTAATTTGAGATGCCCAAGTATAGTATAGGAGAGGGGAGCACTGAGGAATAGGGTTTGAAGGAGCAGTAGGAAGGTCAACTAAAGAGGAGCTGGGAAAAAGAAAACTTCAGGCCAATCTCCCTAATGAACACTGATATAAAAATCCTCAATAAAATTTTAGTTATCAGAATCCAACAATGTATCCATAAGATAATTCACCACGACCAAGTAGGATTCATTCCAGGGACACAAGGATGGTTCAACATCCGAAAATCAATCAACATTATCCAACACATCAACAAAAAGAAATATAAAAACCATATGATAATATCAATAGATGATGAGAAGCTTTCGACAAAGTACAACACCCATTCATGATAAAAGCCCTTGAAATTCTTGGGATACAAGGAACATACCTCAACATCGTATGACAAGCCAACAGCCAGTATCATTCTCTTTTTTTTTTTTTTTTTTATAGAGGCATGCTTTATTTATTTGTTTGCTGGTTTGTTTGTTTGTTTTGTTTATACATGCACTGGGTACAGTCAGAAGTGTGGGAGGGTGAGAGAATTCACCAGAGCCAGAGCGGGGAGCAGAGCAGGCAGAAGGACCGAAGTACACTGCTGAGGGGAGCAGCAGGCGGCAGGAGAGGTCTGCGCGCCATGTGGGACCCTCCTCGGGTGGCCGGGGAGCAGCCGGGGATCTAACCGGCGCTGCAGAGGCCGCGGGCAGCCTCGCAACCCAGCGCTCAACCGCTGCGCCACTGGGGAGGCCCGCCAGTATCATTCTCAATGGTGAAAAGCTGAAAGCATTTCCATTAAGATCTGGAACAAGACAAGGATGTCCGCTCTCACCACTGCTTTTCAATATAATACTGGAAGTCCTAGCCAGAGCAATAAGACAAGAGAAAGACATACAAGGAATCCAAATAGGAAAAGAAGAAGTCAAACTCACTATTTGCAGATGATATGATAATATACATAGAGAACCCCAAAAACTCCACAGAAAAACTAATTCAACTCATCAATCAGTTCAGTAAAGTGGCAGGATACAAAATCAACACGCAAAAGTTAGTAGCCTTCCTATACACAAACGATAAATCTGAAGAAGAAGAAATCAAAAAAACCATCCCTTTTATTATCAAAACAAAAAAAAAATCAAATACTTGGGAATAAATCTAACAAAAGAGGTAAAGGACCTGTACAAAGAAAACTATAAAACACTGTTAAAAGAAATAGAAGAAGACACAAAGAAATGGGAAGACATCCCCTGCTCATGGATTGGAAGAATAAACATTATTAAAATGGCCATCCTACCAAAAGCAATATACAGATTCAATGCTATTCCAATAAAAATTTCAATGTCATTCTTCAAAGAAATAGAACAATTATTGATGAAATTCATATGGAATGACCAAAAACCCCGAATAGCCAAAGCTCTCCTGAAAAAAAAAAGAAGGGAATAGAGGCATCACACTCCCAGACTTCAAAATCTACTACAAAGCCATAATCATCAAAACTGCATGGTATTGGAACAAGAACAGACACACAGACCAATGGAATCGAATAGAAAATCCAGAAATAAACCCACAGATTTATGGTCAACTAAACTTTGACAAAGGAGCAAAGAATATGCATTGGAGCAAAGAAAGTTTGTTCAATAAATGGTGCTGGGAAAACTGGGTTGTTACATGCAAAAGAATGAAGCTTGATTACTATTTCACACCATATACAAAAACAAACTCAAAATGGATTAAAGAACTAGACATAAGACCTGAAACCATAAAATACATAGAAGGAAATATAGGCGAAACACTACATGATATGCACATCAAAGACATCTTTACAGACACATCACCCAAAGCAGTGATAGTGAAGGCAAAGATCAACAGCTGGGACTACATCAAATTAAAGAGCTTCTGCACAGCAAAAGAGACAATAACAAAAACAAAGAGAAACCCCACTGATTGGGAGAACATTTTGCACACAACACTAATGATAAAGGACTGATCACAAAAATCTACAAAGAGCTGATGAGACTCAACAACAACAAAGAAAATAATCCAGTCAAAAAATGGGCAGAAGAGCTAAAAAGAAACTTCTCTGAAGAGGAAATGAAAATGGCCAACAGGCATATGAAAAAATGTTCAACATCACTTGTAATCAGGGAAATGCAAATCAAAACTACCATGAGATACCATCTTACACCAGTGAGAATGGCACATATTAAAAAAACTAGCAACAACTAATGTTGGCGAGGTTGTGGAGAAAAAGGAACTCTCCTGCACTGCTGGTGGGAGTGCAAACTGGTCCAACCACTATGGAGAGCTGTGTGGAGATTTCTTGATCTACTAAACATAGAGCTTCCATATGATCCAGCAATTCCACTCCTACGTATTTACCCAAAGGACACAGAAACATCAATTCCAAAGAGCACCTGCACCCCTATGTTTATAGCAGCACTGTTTACAATAGCTAAGCTTTGGAAACAACCTAAATGCCCAAAAACAGATGACTGGATCAAGAAGATGTGGTACACATACACCATGGAATATTACTCAGCATTCAAAAAAGATAAACACATGCAATTTGCAGCAACATGGATGGCGCTGGAAGGGATCATGCTCACCGAAACAAGCCAGAAAGAAAAAGAAAAATACCGGATGGTCTCACTCATAGCAGGAATCTAGAAAACTTAAATAAGGGGCCAGGAAAATGAATAACTATAAGAAAGTGAAAATGAAAATCAACAAACAACTATGAACCAGAGACACTCTATGGAGGGTGGGGGTGGGGAGGGGAGGGATTGGGGTCAAAATAAGGGGGTTGCAATTGTATGGGGAATATAAAAATAAAATTTATTAAAAAAATAAAATTTATAAAAATAAAAAAAATTAAAATAAAATATACTATTAACCAAAAAACAAATAAATAAATAAATAAATAAACTTTCATTTAAAAAAAAAAAAAAGAGGAGCTGGGTTCTGGGCCTCCCTTGTGGCACAAGGGGTTAAGTCTCAGCACCGTGAAGCTATCTGCAGCACAAGTTCGATCCCCAGCCAGGGAGCTAACCCATATATGGTGCAGCAGGCCTTTACTGTCTCGCCTGCTTCTCCCCTCAGCAGTGAATTTCAGTAGATCTGCCTGTTCTATTCCCCACTCTGTCTCTGGTGAATCCACTCACCCCCCACACCTCTGGCCTACACCCTAGCTTTTGTTTTGTTTTTTTATAAGATTTTTATTTATTTATGCAAGAACTGGGGTTAAGGCCAGAGGTGTGGAGGGTGAGAGGATTCACCAGAGACACAGTGGGGAACAGAACAGGCAGACTGACGAAATGCACTGCTGAGGGGAGCAGCAGGCAAGACAGGAGTGGTCTGCTCGCCATATGGGTTGTTCCGAGGCCAGCAGGGATCAAACCGGCACTGCAGAGGCTGCGGACAGCTTCACAGCGCTGCTCTCAACTGCCTGCACCACTATGGGAGGCCCCACCCTAGCTCTTGTATGCATAAATAAATAAATCTTAAAAAAATAAATAAATAAATAAAATGCCCTCTTCAGAGCTTCTTGAACTCCAACTACTAAGGCATCATTTTGAAATCTGCCTGAAAAAAATATCCAAACTAGCTATTCCCTTCCCTGCCATACAACTTGGTTTATTCACTCCCACCATACTCAGTCCCATTTCATATTATCTTTGCAACTTTTTCTAAAAATGCTTTCTCATTCACTGAGGAAGCATAGAATTATATAGGTTTTATTGTTCTTATTGTCACCTACATTCAAATATTAGGATAAATATTAATTATCATGAAACTCGAAAGCATAGTTATATATTCTAGTCTTAGATAGATCAGAATTAGTCACAACCCATACAGAATTCATGTATGACTTGGTGGAATAAAGTCATTTTAGGACAAGAAGAGACAATGGTAGAAAGGATGGAATTTTGTCACATACTCCTAAATTTGGACTACTTTTGCTCAAACTGCAAAAAATCATGTGTCAAGAGAACTCAGAGTGTGGATTGTTCTGGAATTTGACAGGAGGGCTGCATTTAATCATTTCATATAGCTCACATCTGGGAATTACCATTGGAAAAATGTCTTTGTGCCGTCCCTTTCTTTCTCATAGACATCTGGAGGGGAGACTTGGATGGAGTCAAATTTCTTTGCAAGTGAAAGAAAGCCTAGAAACAGAACACTTCAAAGTACAGGCTATATTCCTTTCTCCGGATACATTTGATTATATATGATTTAAACATTTTCTTCAATGTAACTTGGTACGAATTGTCTCCCTTGTAGAAAAGCTGCAAGTTTTTAAAGGGATGTGGAAATTCACTTTGACTGGAAAACATTTGAGGAGTGAGCAGATTGTCTTCAAGGTAGGAAAAACATTTGTCAAATGTCTTGTGCCTCCTGTAGAGTAACTGAGCTATTGACAATTTCCTTCTCCTTCCTGTAGCTGAGTCAGACAGGAACTAAAGGAAAAACACAGTCCCCAAAAAGAAGGGTTTTTCTTGCTTTCTAAGCTGTCTGGGCTTGTCCTACCTCCTCAGGCTTGCAGAAATCAGAATCCTTTGGGGTTAAGTGTGGTGAATGGATGGAACACAGGATAACGTGGAGTTTTTACTATTAAATAATTTTTTTTAATGTACAAGGATTGACTAGCTGCTCTTTTATGAAAGAAAAAAAAGTCTAGTCTCTGAAAAGAGTATGTTGATTTGAAAGGTATACTCATATTCTAGGGACAGCTTACCTTTTCTCATACCCTCATCCTTAAATAATAATTTTCAGTCTTTTCTTCACCTTCACCCCTTACCTCACCACTTTCAGTGCCCGCGTGTGCGCCCACCCGCCCACGCACACACATACACCATAATACTGGATTCCTTCTTTTGATTGCCTTTCTCTCGGGTGTAGGAGATAAGAGTTAGATGGTGTTGGGAAGCAAAATATTGACGAGTTGTGCCCAAATGAGATAAGCGTTCTATTTTAATGGGGCCACCTGCGCAAACTACTACTCTATATTGTATAGGTGCTTCAAAAGTAATTACGGGGCCTCCCTCATGGCACAAGGGGTTAAGACAGCACTGTGAAGCTATCCACAGTCTCTGTGGCATAAGTTCAATGCCAGGGAGCTACCCACATGGTGCAGCAGACCTCTCCTGTCTTGCCCACTGCTCCCCTCAGCAGTGTATTTCTTTTTTTTTTTTTTTTACGATTTATTTATTTATTTATTTATACAAGCACTGGGTACAGTCAGAAGCGCGGGAGGGTGAGAGAATTCACCAGAGCCAGAGCAGGGAGCAGAGCAGGCAGAAGGACCGAAGTACACTGCTGAGGGGAGCAGTGGGCGGCAGGAGAGGTCTGCGCGCCCTGTGGGACCCTCCTCCGGTGGCCGGGGAGCAGCTGGGAATCGAACCAGCGCTACAGAGGCTGCAGGCAGCTTCGCAACCCAGCGCTCAACCGCTGCGCCACCGGGGAGGCCCTCTCAGCAGTGTATTTCAATCAGTCTGCCTGGTCCGTTACCCACTCTGTTTCTGGTGAAGCCTCTCATCCCCTGAATCTCTGTCCTATACCCCAGAGGTCTGCTGCGCCATATGGGTAGCTCCCTTGCCGGGGATCGAACTCGTGCTGCAGTGGCTGTGGATAGCTTCATAAGTTGCATCTTAATCCCTTGTGCCACCAGGGAGGCCCTATAGCAGTTTTATTCATGATTGCATAATCTTGGAAGCAACCAAGATTTAAAAAAACCCAAAATAGTAATGAAAAGATTGGCATTGTTGTACTTTTCTGTGAATCGCTTTAATGTTTGACTTAATGAAAGACAACTGGAGCAGCACTCTGTCTGCCCACCTGTGACCATGCAGGTGCTTCTTTTCACCAACCCTCTCCCTCTGCAGGGCAGCAGCCTTCCTGCCCCTGTCCATGACCTGTACCATGCCGGGACTTCTCACTGACCTCCCTCAGTGAAGGCAGCTCTCCTCAATGCTGCCCACCTGCAACCTTGCAGGCCTCTCTTAGCAAACCTGTCCCTTTTGGAGCAGCTCTTTCTGCATGCTTGTATCTATGCAAGTGTCTTTTACTGTCCTATCCCTTTTCTAATAAACCTGCTCTTTAAATATAACTACCGGGGCCTCCCTATAGTTGAGCGCAGGTGGTTGAGCGCAGCGCTGTGAAGCTGTCCGCAGCCTCTGCAGTGCAGATTCGATCCCGGCAGGCTGGCGAGAATCCCACATGGCGCAGCAGACCTCTCGTGTCTCATCTTCTGCTCCCCTCAGCAGTGTATTTCGGTCATTCTGGCTGTTCTGTTCCCCGCTCTGTCTCTGGTGAATCCTCTCACCCTCCCGCACATCTGGCCTGTACCCCAGTTCTTGTATAAGTAAAATAAATCTTAAAAAAAAAAAAGAAGACAACTGGATTCTCATGTCTGCTTCTCTATTTAGCCTGTTGTGATAGCACATGTTATATAGTATATGGAAAATTCCACTTGTAAGAGAATCAGAGTGAAAAAGACAAATAATGTTTTAGCATTATTTTGAAAATCATTTTGACCTCATGTACCTACTGATAGGTTCTCAGGGACCCCAAGAGTTAGATCACACACATGCGAACAACCCCCATTCTATGGTGAGAAAAGGAATCTATATATGAAAAAAAGAGAAAATAACAAAATGGGCATATTTCAGGTGACAAAGAAAGGGAACAAAACACAGAGGGCTTAACAATTGAGTGGGAAACAAACCTACCGAAGCAATAATACTCTTCCTAGGCAGAGGAAATTTGAGATAAATTTCCAGCCATTTGGTGGTACCGAATGGAAAGTGGCATGATGTTGCCTATACCCATCCTACAGGGTGGGAAAGAAGTCTTATCACTTCCTGGTAACTAGCCGTGGCTTCAGGAACAAGACTATTCCTGTCAGCACCTTAGAAGTTATGCTACCAATAATATATTCCCAGATAGTCTTCTATCTGGGAGCCTGCTGCTCCCCTCTTTTTTTTTTTTTTTTTTTTGGTTAGAGCCATGTTTTTTATTTATTTATTTGTTTGTTTGTTTGTTTTGTTTATACATGCCCTGGGTACAGTCAGAAGCATGGGAGGGTGAAAGAATTCACCAGAGCCAGAGCGGGGAGCAGAGCAGACAGAAGGACCGAAGTACACTGCTGAGGGGAGCAGCGGGCGGCAGGAGAGGTCTGCGCGCCATGTGGGACCCTCCTCCGGTGGCCGGGGAGCAGCCGGGGATCGAACCGGCACCGCAGAGGCCGCGGGCAGCTTCGCAACCCAGCGCTCAACCGCTGTGCCACCAGGGAGGCCCACATAGTCTTCTTGAATACAATGATAACTTTCTAACAGATGGTGAAAGCCCACAGATAAAAAGCTAGGTGAACAAAGTATGGTGCACAGAAATCTGCACAACTTTATTTCTTTTATTTCTTTTATCAGACTAGTCTTGTTCTCTAGTGATGTTAAGTTTCATTTTTCTGGTTTCAGTTTCTTTTTCTGGTATATCGAGTCAATTCACACCAATTTAATGGCACCTTTAATGCATCAAACAACCTGGTAGGTACCTATGGGAAATACATAGGAATAAGAGAGGATTCCTACTTCAAAGAGTTAGAGTCATATAAATAATTATGTAGGGCCTTCCCGGTGGCGCAGTGGGTTGAGCACAGCTGTGAAGCTCTCCGCAGCCTCTGCAGTGTCGGTTCAATTCCTGCCCAGCCAGGGAGATTCCCACATAGTGAGGCAGACCTCTCCCGTCTCCCCCACTGGCCCCCTCAGCAGTGTACTTTGGTCCTTCTGCCTGTTCTGCTCCCTGCTCTGTCTCTGGTGAATTCTCTCACCCTCCCGCACTTCTGGCCTATACCCCAGTGCTTGTATAAATAAATAAATCTTTAAATAAATAAATAAGTATAATATGGGCCTGGTATTGTCATGTTCCTGGTACAGGTACTTAGTTTCTTAACAGCCATCTAGAAAAGCCAGACATATGACTTAGTTTTTTATTTTTTATTTATTTATTTTTTTTTTATAATTTTTTTTTAATAGAGGCATGTTTTATTTATTTATTTGTTTGTTTGTTTGTTTGTTTGTTTGTTTTGTTTATACATGCACTGGGTACAGTCAGAAACGCGGGATAGTGAGAGAATTCACCAGAGCCAGAGCGGAGAGCAGAGCAGGCAGAAGGACCGAAGTACACTGCTGAGGGGAGCAGCGGGTGGCAGGAGAGGTCTGCGCGCCATGTGGGACCCTCCTCTGGTGGCCGGGGAGCAGCCGGGGATCGAACCGGCACCGCAGAGGCCGCGGGCAGCTTCGCAACCCAGCGCTCAACCACTGCGCCACCGGGGAGGCCCCCAGACATATGACTTAGCATATTCTGCTTTCCACTGTAAGATTAAATCCACTGCCATCTCCAAAGTTTCTAGGCTGGGCTCTGTTAGTTAGGAGTTCACTGATGGCCTGAACATTGTAAATATTCTCTGAAGTGGGTCTGGATTCAGGCACAGGTTCTTTTGGTATTACTAGTGTAACCTAGGATTGAAGAAAGAAATTCTTGTGACTTCTCAGAGTATTTACCTCACTTCCTTCCCAGAGGTGCCACTGAGGAATATTTCAATTTTAAATTTATGCCAACAATTATGTAGTGACCACAATTATGTAGTGAAATTGTAAAAAGACACCCCTTAAATATTCTAGTATCCAAATTGGTGATTGTGGGTCTTGGCTTCTCCACTTGTCTTTCTTCTACTAGGTCTCCAAAGAACTCCCTCTGGAAGAGGGCCTCCCTGGTGGCACATGGGGTTAAGCGCCTCACTATGAAGCAATCCACAGCCCACATGGCAAGGCACACCTCTCCTGTCTAGCCCGCTGCTCCCCTCAGCAGTGTATTTCAGTCAGTCTGCCTATTCTGTTCCCCACTCTATCTGTGGTGGATACTCTCACCCACACCCCGCCCCCGCATCTCTGGCCTGTACCCCAGCTCTTGTATGCATAAATAAATAAATCTTAAAAAAAAAAAAAAAAGGGGGCCTCCCCGGTGGCGCAGCGGTTGAGCGCTGGGTTGCGAAGCTGCCCGCGGCCTCTGCGGCGCCGGTTCGATCCCTGGCCACCGGCGAGGGTCCCGCATGGCGCGCAGACCTCTCCTGCCGCCCGCTGCTCCCCTCAGCAGTGTACTTCGGTCCTTCTGCCTGCTCTGCTCCCCGCTCTGGCTCTGGTGAAGTCTCTCATCCTCCTGCGCTTCTGACTGTACCCAGTGCTTGTATAAACAAAAACAAACAAACAAACAAATAAATAAATAAAACATGCCTCTATTAAAAAAAAAAAAAAAGAAAAAGAACTCCCTCTGGAAGAGACAAATACAACCCAGATAAGCTGCTCCCCAAACCAAGCGCAGAGCAGAGTCTGTGTGGCCACGTGGGGGCAGTGCAGATTTGTGAATGAGTTTCACATTGCGGTTTCACAGCACCAGAATTGAGCAGTACGGGTTCTGTGTGCCAGTCTGCCTAACCCCCATTCCTCCTACTTGCAGGGAATGACTGCCTTTGATGAAGGCTCCAATTCAGTTTGATTGAATTGTGCTCAGGTGTGAGGCACATCTGCGTGCACACACACACACACACACACACACACACACATACATCGTGAAACACATCTAGCCTCCAACTCCTGAGAGATAAGCTTAAATAAATCAAGGTGGGGGGGGGGTGTCTTTGAATCAGGAAAAAAATACATTTTGAAAGTGTGAAAGGCTATTGTTAAACACATTAAATAGGTACTATAATCAGGACACACAGGTAGTGACAATGTTATATTCATTTAGTTTTCTAAATTAAATATCCTTGGCTCCCATTCACCAGTGGGGGGTGGGGGGGAATCCAATCGTGATCCTTTTTAGGAGCTTACAGGTATTTGAGAGAAGACATCTCTTAGTTTCTGCCACACTTGGTGTTCATTTGTCCATGACAGTGGTCTATCCTAGGACCCTTTCTCTAAGGCCTAGATGGGGCATGAGGCTCCCAAATTTTAGTGCCTTTGCTCACCCCCTTAAGCACACAGTCATCCCCATTCGAGGTTCTTAACATCCAGAGGTCTGTGGAAGAGGGGAAGCAGAACCTGGTTGCCTTCAGAGACAGCAGTGCTCCTTGGCAACATCTTGTTCAGAGGCAGTCTCAGGAAATTCTTTCTTTGACCTTTTTTAGATAAAACAGTCTCGCAGTCTCACCTGTGTGACCCTGGGCTGATTTTAAAAGCAAAAATCTGTTGATTTCCTTTTTTCTTCTTTTGTGTGTGTGTGTGTGTGTGTATGTGACATGATTGACATGAAGTCGAAGATGAGACGTGGTAAAGAGCCAGGAAGTCACAGGACCATTTCACTTGATTCAACAAATCTCCTTAAAAAACGTAAATGTGGGCCTCCCTGGTAGCCTAGGTTTTAGGTCTCAGCGCTATGACCGCGATGGCCAGAGTTCCATCCCCAGCCAGGGAGCTACCCACATGGCACAGCAGACCTCTCCTGTGTCGCCTGCTGCTCCCCTCAGCCGTGTACTTCAGTAGATCTACCTGTTCTGTTCCCCTCTGTCTCTGGTGAATCCTCTCACCCCCGCACCTATGGCCTACACCCCAGTTATTGTATGCATAAATAAAAATAAATCTTCAAAAAAAATAAGTACTTCCATACCTCTATACCTTTGCTAGTGCTATTTCCTTGCCTGGAATCCCCTTTTCCTTCTCTACCTAATGAACTCTTCATTTATTTTCCAGACCCATCAAATGTCATGTCCTCTATAATTTCCTCTGACATGTTCCCCTTACTGCAGGTCACTAACATTCCTCATAGACCCATCCTACTTTCATGTAGCTGGATATTTCATATTAGATGGTGAATTCAGTGAATGGCTTGAGGACTCAGGGAAGAGCAACTCCTAGCTTTACTTACCCTCCCATCCTCTTCAACCTACGACTTCATTCATCTTTGCATTTGCAGGAGTTAGTATAGTGTGGGTACATAGATGTATTTAACAAATGTTTGTTGAATGTAATGAAAGCTGGAAGGCATCAGACAAACTTTGGTTTTAGTTTTCACTTTCTATTTCTACTTCTCAGGAGATTTGGTTACCGGTGCCAGTTTCCTCTTCTCATCATTTCTATTCTTTCTGGCCGAATGTATCCCATTCTGATTTTCACCTGACTTGCCTTGGCTCGCTGTCCCACCCCTAACACTTAACTCATTTATTCCCTCATACAGAACATGTTTATTGAATACATGCTCTTCTACGGGAACTATTTTAGACTCTGAGGATAACAGTATTGAGCACGATGGATGAAATACCTTCATGGAGCTTATGTTATGGTTGGTTAACTAGACTAAAGAAAAATAATGAATTAAGGCACTTTCAGAAAATGATGTGTTCTAGGAAGGGAATAGTGATGTGATAAGGAGTGAAGTAGGAGCACCTTAGAGGTTGGTCAAGTAAGCTTTCTCTGAAAAGAAGGTGCTGAAATCTGGAGGACAAGAAGGAAATGGCCATATAGTGATCTGCTGAATATACATTTCAGGTGGAAAGCTCAGGATGTGCCCAGACCCCGAAATAAGCCCAAATGACTCAATGCTTTCTGCATTACATAAACAAAATCACTAAGGTTTTCCTTAGAACTGTAACCATCCTTCACCCTTTTCACACAGAAGTAGCTTTGATCACTGAGAAGTGACTGCCTTCACCTTCCCTACTACCACAATGAATTTTCTTCCAACAAATCCCATTGACACTCATCTAAGTCTATATGACTATAGCACCAATCTGTGAGATTAGTATAGTCCCTTCTATTGCATAGTAATTCCCTTCCCTTTCTCTTCCAGAAGGACTAGGTTCTGTCCCTCCTCCACATTGCACATTGCCTCCACTGGGCTGCTGTGTCTAGCTGGTAAGACAGTCCAAAAAAGCTGGCCTCCTCGTAGATAGCAAAACAGCTGCTTAAAGAGGCTGGAGGGCTTCCTGTTGCTAGAGACATGAAACACGCTCATAAGCAAAGGAGCCAAAATCAAAACCATATGGTTTGCTTTGCAGTAAAGATCACAGGGACAGAACAATTAGAGGAAGGAGGGCCAGCCAAGGGACAAACTTTTGGGGATGAGGAGTGTGTGTCCACCCCAATACTGACAGCCCTATACTCACAAGTGAGGCAGCCCTCCTGCGTAAGGAGCCTCCTGTCCTTGGGCTACTGGCCCACCTGTACTCTCCTCTGGCCACACTGGTCAAAGTTTGAATAAATGCTAGAAGAATAGTAGTACCTACTCCCTGGAACATCGGGATCCCCTACAGTCTCCTGACCAGATGTCCCCCAAATGAAAACCATCCCTGTTTGGTTTTTTTCTCTAATGAACTGATATAACTCGTGTCTTGAAAATATTAAACAAGCAATCCTTTATCTACTTGTTTACTGTATATCTAAAGTTTCTCTTAAAGGGAATCTAAGATTCTGAGGTAGAATCCACAAGCATTAAAAAGAAATCCATTCTTGGGGCCTCCCTGGTGGCACAAGAGGTTGAGACGCAACCCATGAAGCTGTCCACAGCCTCTGTGGCACGAGTTCGATTCCCGACCAGGGAGCTACCCACGTGGCACAGCAGACCTCTCCTGGCTCGCCCACTGCTCCCCTCAGCAGTGTATTTCAGTCAATCTGCCTGTTCTGTTCCTCACTCTGTCTCTGGTGAATCCTCTCACCCCCCCCCCCACACACACACCTGGTCTGTGCCCCAGTTCTTGTATGCATAAATAAATAAATCTTTAAAAAAGAAAAAAAAAGAAAGAAATTCATTCTAAAGACTACTAGAAGGATAGACTACATGGACTCAGTATGGAAAGCCTAGATTTGGATCTGCCTGGGAACTTTAAATGCTAGGTCTGTGTTAGTTCCAGTGGATTCCTATCCTTCCTGATGCATGAGATTGTTCATGGGCAAGTTGGGGAAAAGGTGCTGTGTTCCTGGAACTGGGATAGCCAATAGTGCCTTCTGCTCGGCAGACCAAGGCCCAGGCACTTGAAGAACTTAATTTTTACCATCCACCTGCTGCCTCCCTGCTTCTCCCATAGGAAGTGACTCCATACAAAAGATAGCATTTGTGGGGAAAGATCTATGTTCACATGTCCCCATGTCCATACAGAAGAGTTTCGGGCAGATGCTTTTGCTTTCAGGCTCAGGCCAACTCAGAAGTGGGAGGAAAATTCCAGGTAGCCCTTTGCTATAAAAGGAGGTAGAACTTTGGTTCTCAGAGCAAAAAGCTTGCTCCATAAGCTCCATAAGCTTCTCCCTGTTCACTCAGGGCAGGTCTGCAAGATTCTGGGTCATGGAAGAAAAAAGCAAAGAGAAAAAAATTAAACATATAAACAAGGATCTTCCTTACTTTCTTCTACAGGTATTTTCTTGGATGGGAAGGGAATTCAAAATTCTGATAAAGAAAATGGCTTTCTTGCTGGACTGCTCTTGAAGTGAGTGTATTTCTTGCTGGGCTGCTCTTGAAGTATGGGTAATAAGTGCTTTGAGGGTGGGGCTTTGTCTTACGGTTCCCAAAGTTGCCAGTGTGACCCCTTCCCTTACTTCCAAGCTCTCTGACCTGTGTTCTACTGTATGCTAAGGTCAGAGCAGGGAGCTAGGCCTCCATGCCTTTGACTCCAAACAGGCCCCTCAATTGTAGCTATCAAAGACATGGCCCTGGTTCTAGAAACTTCAACTGTGAACTCACAGGAAATTCAGAAAACCCAGAGGTAAGTTTTGCTTATCTCCTGATGTTATTTCTCATTGCCTTTCAATGATCATGCACAGAACTCAAGGAACTGACTAATTTGGTTAAGTCCAGCAGCTGCATTGCCAGTTATGATTCAATCTTGTCAACTGCAAAAAAGGATTAAACTTTTAGATAAGCTTCCCAAAGCATGTTAGGCACTGCTAGGTTGACAGGATTGTTTTTGAAGGTTTTGACCATGCTTTATATCTACCTATCTTTGTATTTTTATAGCTCCCCATCTTATTTATGCTTCACAATAATACTGTGCTTTGGGGGCCTCCTTGGTGGCTCAGGGGTTAAAGTCCCAGCACTATCAAGCAATTACCAGCCACTGCAGCATCAGTTTGATCCCCAGCCTGGGAGCTAATCCACATGGCATAGCAGACCTCGCCTGTCTCACCTGCTGCTCCCCTTTGCAATGTATTTCAGTCAATCTGCCTGTTCTGCTCCCTGCTCTGGTGAATCCCCTCCCCCTCCCCTGGCACCTCTGGCCTACATCCCAGTTCTTGTAGGCATAAATAAATAAAAATAAATCTTTTTAAAAATACTGTGCTTTGGGGCCTCCCCGGTGGCGCAGCGGTTGAGCGCTGGGTTGCGAAGCTGCCCGCAGCCTCTGCAGCGCCGGTTCGATCCCCGGCTGCTCCCTGGCCACCAGAGGAGGGTCCCACATGGCGCGCAGACCTCTCCTGCCGCCCGCTGCTCCCCTCAGCAGTGTACTTCGGTCCTTCTGCCTGCTCTGCTCCCCGCTCTGGCTCTGGTGAATTCTCTCGCCCTCCCGTGCTTCTGACTGTACCCAGTGCTTGTATGTATAAATCAATCAATCAATCAATCAATAAACAAATCTTAAAAAAAAAAAAAAAAAAAAAATACTGTGCTTTGGAAAGGGAAAGTATGAATGTTGTTTTTTATGTGGGTGAGGAAACAAACACAAAGAGATTAAATGATTGCCCAAACTTATCTAGATCTGTTGTTACCAGAATCAGGATTAGAACACTGATTTTCTAACTTCCAGCTGTGTCCTTTCCACCATTCCATCTTTTTAAAAAAGTTACTGAAGTGACATTGATTTATAGCATCACACAGGTTTCAGGTACACAGCACTGTGATTCAGCCTCTCTGTATGCTACATTATGATCCCCACCAAAAAGCTAGTTTCCATCCATCATGTATGATTCACCCTCTTTACCATATTACCCACCCACCAACCTCCTTCCTCTCCGGTAACACCATTTTTCTCTCATAATGTTTGTTTTTGTTTTTGTGTTGTTTGTTCATTTATTTTGTTTCTTTTTTTAAGCTTCAGGTGTGCAGCTTTATATTTCAGCATCTGTATATACTGCATTGTGATCACCAAATATTTAGTTTTCTTTTTTTTTTTTCTTAAATTTATTTATTTATTTACACAAGCACTGGGTACAGTCAGAAGCGCGGGAGGGTGAGAGAATTCACCAGAGCCAGAGCGGGGAACAGAACAGACAGACTGAAGAAATACACTGCTGAGGGGAGCAGCGGGCACGGCAGGGGAGGTCTGCGCGCCATGTGGGACCCTCGCCGCCAGATCGAACCAGCGCTGCAGAGGCTGCAGGCAGCTTTGCAGCCCAGCGTTCAACTGCTGCGCCACCAGGGGAGGCCCCAAATATTTAGTTTTCATCCTACACTTATAATTGACCTCCATTACCTGTTTTACCCTCCTTCCCTCCTTCCCCTTCTTTCCTCCTAACCCTCCTTCTGCTATGGTAACCACTATTCTGTTGTCAGAATCTAAGGGTTTGTTTTCAGTTTTGCTTTGTTTGTTCATTTGTTTTGTTTATCTTCCACAGAAGGGAAATCATGTGGCATTTATCTTTTTCCGTCTGACTTATTTCACTTAAGACAAATATGCTCTAGAAGGTTTCAGTAACACAAAAATACTTGGAAATCACTGAGCCCCTTCCTTGGGGTCCCCTTATAATTGTGAGGTATTCTTTCAAATGGAGTCCTCCTTTTTTAAAAAAAAAAGATTTATTTATTTATGCATATAAGAACTGGGGCACAGGCCAGAGGTGCAGGGGGTGGGAGTGGTGAGAGCATTCACCAGAGACAGAGTGAGGTACAGAACAGGCAGACTGACTGAAATACACTGCTGAGGGGAGCAGCAGGTGAGACAGGAGAGGTCAGCTGCACCAATTGGGTTGCTCCCTGGCCTGGGATTGAACTCATGCTGCAGAGGCTGTGGATTGCTTCACAGTGCTGTGTTTAACCCCTTGCACCACCAGGGAGGCCCCTCAAATGGAGTCCTCCTTTGCCACAATGTGCTCCCCATATGCATACGCAGTTCTGTGCATGCATCTCCACCAGGCCCTTTACATATAATTATCTCAGTTCATTCCCCAGTATCTCCACTGAGGATATTATTTATCCACATTACTGATAAAGAACTTGAAGCTCAGAGAAGGAGATAAATTAGCTCAGACCTTGTAAGTGTCAGTCACAGCTGAACCCAAATTTTGATACTCAGATCTTCCTGCTGTACCTTAGGTGTCCAGAAATATGAGTCATAATAAGAATCAAATATATATATAGCCTCAAAATACGAATGGTTTTGTGGATTTTACTTGCATGAGGCAGATTCTAGGACTGCGATGTTGTGCAGTACAGTAGAGAGCCTCCATTGTCTCCAGAAGTGGCAAATAGCCTTCCCACAAGGTATCCACCTGGAAGCACATGAGCATGCTTACGTGCCCTGTGCTGCCCCACCTTCTCCTGCTAGGGGTTTGGTCACAGCTACAGCATCTTGACAACCTATTTAAACCAACTTGCAGCAACTGGCAGCAAAACTTCATTCTCTTGTGGGCTGAGCCATTGAGCCTCTGCAGACTTTGGAAGAGAGAATCATTAGCCGAAACTTTCAACAACCGGAGAGTCCAGAGAGGTATGTAATAAATTCCATGCAGATGTTAAGGTTCGTCTTTCTTTTTTCTCCCTTTTTTTCTTTTTCTCTCTTCTTTTCAATCACATTCAAAGAGCAAACATGTTGTTTCTACCTTATCAAGCAAGGTGGGAAGAACATTGCTTCCTGTATCCTCTGGGAAGGTCTGTACCAAAGGATTAAGAGAGCTAACAGCATCTGGGTGATTCAGGGTGGCATTCAAATTATCAGAGAACACTTTGTACACTTGACAGAATTATCCAGATAGGTAACTGGTGTTGCAAGCACTTCAGCAAACAATTAGAGGCTTCCAAATTCATTCTGATTTACACGGTCCACACCATTTACTTTTGGTGGAGGCAGCCGATTATGTTTTGAAATCCTAAGAAATTCATCCAGCAAATAGCTGAGTGTACATTTTACTTTATTACAGAGAGAAAGGCAGACCTAGCCATAAGAACTAAATTTTGTCTCATGACATCTGAGCAGCCTGGATGGTTTGGCAACTTTATTGTGCTATATAGATAACAATAATATCCTTAGATAACTCATAAAAACTCCTCTCCAGCAGCTCTGGCTTTTCTGGGGTTAATTCCTGCTGTGGGACTAGAAAGTGGAATATCAGACCTTCCCAAGCTGCAGCAGCACTTGACATCCGCTTCACCTCACACCTGAGTCCCTGCTTCCGGGAAGAAAAACCTGAGTAAAGTCAGCCATGGCAGCAGAGACGGATTCTTCTTGACAGTGGCTACTTCTAACTTCAGAGCTGTGGGCACTGAACTAGAAAGCGGTGCAAAAAGAAAGGAACAGCATTTAAATGACAATGGGAAACTGGAAAGAAAGAACCTACGTTTTCTCCCTTCAAAAAGGTAAGTTTCACAAAGTTCATCTTTTCATGGGGACTGGTGAGTCTTAAAATTTTTAGTCCTTAGTCTACTTGAACAGAGCAAAAGAGTCTCACCTATTTATTAGATTAAATAAACAAGCCAGTGAGGTGTTTTTGCTGAGCCTCTGTGTTTACTTGTAGCTCCCTTTAAACATTTTTGTTTTTGTTTTGTTGCTTTTAAGTTTTGATTAAAATCAGCAGTGGAAAATATGTTTCAAAGGGGAAGAAAAAAACTACCCTTGTGTTTTGACCCAGCCCACAAAATGATTAGAAGAATCTTTGCAGACCCACCAGAGAATCCCGGGATTCCACTAGAGAACCATTGATCTCAAAAACAGCATCTTGATTTCAGAACCCTTCTTTTGATCTAGAATTACCTGTTATTGACCACAGAGAGCTGTTATTGACGATCCCTGGGACAGGGCCCTGTAGAGTGAGAGGTGAGCCCCAGCATGGGAAAACAAAATCTCTCTCTCTTTCTCTTTCTCGGCGGGTGTTTCGGTGCAGCAATCTATCTATGCCATAGTAAAATATCTTAATATTGGTCTTAATTTCTTCTTCTTCCTTATCATCTTTTAGTTAGTTAGTTAGTTAGTTAGTTAGTTAGTTAGTTAGTTTATTTGTTTCTTCTGTGGTAAAATATTTCCCCAAGCCTGCAGAGCATAGATGATTTTTGCCTGGTGCATTTTGCTAACTGGAGATTCCGAATGACATTTTCTTATTTGGGTGCAGGATTTTCCTAAATATTTAAGAACCTGAATTGTAAAAGGAGCTGGCTGTTGTCCTTGCCTTATAGATAGGTAGCTGAGATGTACCAGAGAAGGCTGAAGGGCTGTACCAGAATGCAGAGCTCTATTGAGATATGTGTAGGAAAAGAGAAGAACCCTCACGGAGGGAGCAGCCATGTTGCAGTGAGCCGGCAACATGGACAATGTGAAGAGCCAGTCCAGGAAGTAATGGAACCATTCCCTGGAAGGGTGAACTTAGAAGTCTTACAACCAAGCTGAGCTCTGCGAATGAGATAGTTCATTTGGTCAAACAGTGCTGCGAAAGTAAAGGAAAAGCTCCTGACTCCCGTTAAAGATGGAGAATGTGTCTGAGTCTCCTGCTTAAGCCACCGGGATCTCATTAAACATAAAGATATTAACACTGTCAGCATTGCTATCCTTCATTAACAGCAGGGAATGTGTGTTATGCGCACACTGGGTAGTAATAGCAAATGAGCATTTAACCAAGTACGTAAGCCTCTATTTGAAATTTCCAAATCCCAAAACTCTGAAATGAGAACTGTCATTTTTTTTTTCTTTTTGTAATTCATTTGCAGCAAAATCTGACCTTACCTGATGTCATTAGGCAACAAAACCTATCCTAAATTCATGCTAATCAATTCATAGTCTCTGTTTAATGGGTTTGTTATGAATATTTATACCTCTTTGTTATAGAATAATATTTTTATTAATTAATCTGAGGTATGCCCAGATCACTTCTATGGAACTTAATATAGTATAGAGATGGTCTTGTTTTTCTCAAAATCCCTAGTTCTAAACAAAAAAATCTGACCCAAGGATCATAATACAACTAGGTATTACAAACCTACATTGTAGTTAGGATATACATATCCTCCCAGGATTGGTGGAAGGAATCCTAGTCTTTAACCGTCTCCTAATACCCAATTAAAATTAATTCTGGGTCTTCATCTTTTCTAGATTCAATTCAGTTTTGTAGTTCCACCAAGTTACTTAGGTTCTAAGACATTGTATTTTAAGTTCATTACTGCAGACTTGTTTATATAACAAAGGAAAGTTTTAGACCAAGAGAGTGGACAATTTTTTTTTTTTTATAGAGGCATGTTTTATTTATTTAGTTTGTTTGTTTGTTTGTTTATACATGCACTGGGTACAGTCAGAAGCGCGGGAGGGTGAGAGAATTCACCAGAGCCAGAACAGGGAGCAGAACAGGCAGAAGGACCGAAGTACACTGCTGAGGCGAGCAGCGGGTGGCAGGAGAGGTCTGCGCGCCATGTGGGACCCTCCTCCGGTGGCCGGGGAGCAGCCGGGGATTGAACTGGCGCTGCAGAGGCCCCGGGCAGCTTCGCAACCCAGCGCTCAACCACTGCGCCACCGGGGAGGCCCCCAATTTTGTTTTTTAAAGATTTATTTATTTATACAAGCACTGGGTACAGTCAGAGGCGTGGGAGGGTGAGAGAATTCACCAGAGCCAGAGCGGAGAGCAGAACAGGCAGACTGACGAAATACACTGCTGAGGGAAGCAGCGGGCACAGCAGGAGAGGTCTGCGCGCCATGTGGGACCCTCGCTGGTGGCCAGGGATCGAATGAATGCTGAAGAGGCTGCGGGCAGCTTCGCAGCCCAGTGCTCAACCGCTGCGCCACCGGGGAGGCCCTAAGAGAGTGGACAAATTTGAAGAAGTAAGAGCAAAAGCAAGGAGATTGGGCCAGTGTGACTTGTTTCGTTGACAGCAAGGAAAATGCTGGAGTGAAGAGGAATTGGAAAATATGAAGTAATTTGAAAGGAATAGAAGGTAAAGTTTGGTAAGGGATAGGAGATAAAAATCAGGGAAGAAAGAGTTTGAAAATTAAGACCAAGGTTCTTGACTGGGGAGGATGGTCTTTGGACAAAGGTAGAGAGTATGGTGGAGCCAGATCATGCACATATTTGACTTGTGCAGAGTCAATGTATGTGCTTAGTGATTGAGTGAGAAACTGGAGGGGCTCATACAGAGAGCACCTGCTTGGTGAAAAAGATGTTTGCCTTAGAATTGGGAGCTAGAGATTTGCTTTTCCTTCAACTGAGCTCTTACAGTGTGAACCTTTCAATATGTTAATTATGATCCTGGTGTTCAAAGAAAAGGATTTTTTTATACATATAACCCAATGACTTATTCTGGTGTGAAATGGGAAAAACAAAACAAAAAAGGCCCAACAGTTATCATTTGCCGTGTTGGAAAAAAGTCAGTACTCTATATAATTTTTACCCTTGAGTCTGATGTTAGACCTAAATATGCAACTCAGAACAATTGACATGGGAGAAATGCCCTTTAGAATGCCATGGGTTAAGAATAATAGAAAACTCAACTCATGCAAGTTTAAAAACAATAAAGGGAATGGATTATCTTCTCTAACTTATAAGTCCAAATAAAAGATGGGTTTCAGGCAAGTTGTAACCTAGTGGAATAGTTATATTACCAATGTCCTTTCTAACTCTCTGTCCAGTCTGCTTTTCACTGTGTCACCTTCATCCTAAATCTGGCTTCTGTTTATAAGATGTCTGCCAGCACTAATCAGGTCTGTGGGCTCCACTGTGAGATATTTAGCTTCCCTAAACAGTCAGAAAAGGTCTGGGTTTCCTCGGGTTATCTCTTCTTCAGTCACATAACCATGCCTGAATCACTACAGGGAGGGTGGAATTCAGGATCCTCTTAGAAAAAGCAGAAGATCATAGTTGATGTTGAAGAGGCAACTAACTGTTATTTTCAGAAACCCACCAAGCAAGAAAGATGAGGAGCTTAGCTAAAGACATTAGCATTTATCCAGTCAACATTTGCTGGACTCCTGCTCTGGGCTAATCACTATGGCAGGTTCAGGGTCATAAAAATGAGTAAGAGATGGCCTTTTTTTTTTTTTTAAATCAAGTGGGAGGGACAAACACATAAACAGTGTGACAAGAGCAGGACAGTACAAAATTCTGAGAAGCAAATAATGGAGCAAATAACTGCACCTCAACCCGATGAGTTTTCTGACATAGGGTTGTTTGGTTTAACTATTGCTGACAAGAGCTAGGAACCTCAGAGATCAAACTGCATGAGCCAGGAATCCTTAGGGCCTCAAAAAATGTTCTGGGCCTTAGGGCTTGAGGAAATGATCTGAGCTGCTTGAGAAAACTCTTTATTGACACTGTATTACCTACTAGGATTGTACAAATCACTGTTTACTTGAAGAAAGAGTTCCCCTGATAAATGAATATAAACCACTAACATAACACATTCCCTTCATTTTACCATTAAGAGAGGGAGAGAGAGAGAGAGAAAATGGATATTTGCAAAACACACATCTAACTAATGCTGAGTCAAAACAAGAACTCAGAGCTCTTGACTCCCAGCCCAGAATTCATTTTTTTGATTCACTACCAAGCTTTGGTAGAAAATTGCTGGCCAGTTCGTGATAAGTGTTGGGGAAGCTAATCTTCCTCTAGCTTTCTAGGCCCTCACAGCTGGAAAATATGTAAAGTGACAGAAGACAAATTAACAGAAGGAAAAAAAAAAAGACCACATTTAATTTCATGTGCATGGAAGTACCATTATGAAAATAGGACTTCCTGAATAACTGAAACAGCCAATTTATATAGTTTTTAGATAAAGAAGTTATACATTTTTGAAGAACAGACAGGATAAAGAAATTCTTAAAATTTTGTTTTGGACATCTTATTTAGTGAGCTAAGCAGCATTTGTTTACATAGCTTCCTGCTCTGGTCTCTGTGATAAATCTCTATGTCTTTGCATGGAGATTTATTTCCTGCTTTCAGGGACAGACAGGATGAGGATCAGTGAAAATTGCTGCTTTTAGAAGAACGGGAAGTTTAGGGAATCATTCATTCATTATTTATTTCTTTAATTCAAAATATTATGTCACTTCAGCACATCATGTGGCAACTTCTTCTGTGAAACTGACCTGGAAGTTTAACATTAAAAACTGAGCTGGGGGCCTCCCTGGTGGCGCAGCAGTTGAGCGCTGGGTTGCGAAGCTGCCTGCAGCCTCTGCAGCGCCAGTTCGATCCCCGGCCACCAGGTGAGGGTCCCACATGGCGCGCAGACCTCTCCTGCCGCCCACTGCTTCCCTCAGCAGTGTACTTCGGTCCTTCTACCTGCTCTGCTCCCCGCTCTGGATCTGGTGAATTCTCTCACCCTCCCGCGCTTCTGACTGTACCTAGTGCTTGTATAAATAAATAAAAATAAATCTATAAAAAAAATAAAATAAAATAAAAACTGAGCTGGTAGAGAGAAGAATCAGGTTAGTAGTAGAGTGCTAAGAGATCTGCAGAGGGCAACCCCACATAGGTAAAATCCCACTGATCTAAAGGAATAAGAATTGGCATTAGGACCGAGATGGGTAGAGGTAGACTTCAGGAAGTTTATGAGTGGGGAATGTCTTTTTGTGTCCCCTCCTCCTAGAACATATATAACAGACATACAGAAAATTTTATTCCATCCAGGCTGAGGGCCAGGAGGAGTAGGTTAGAAATTACCAGACTAGTGTAAGGGATGCCCAGAAGTGGACACCACCAGCATAAGAAAACCGTTTTTTCTGTTCTTGCCCACAGTGCCTTATGGCAGGGCGGAAAGACCTCAGAAAAGCAGCCTCTACTTTTGCCCAGACACCAGAGAGAATATGCACAGGGAAAAGGAAGGTGGGGCATGGCGGGGAGTCTACACTCAGAGAAGATGAAGATGCTCCTGAAGCTATGAGCCCCAATTAAACCAAACTCATGCATTATGAAAGAAGTCCATTCTGAGATCTGTCAAAATCTACCTAGTAGTAAATCTACAGGTCCATCCTCCTGACACAAACCATACCTGTATTTATATTCTCTGGGTGTGGAAATAAAGCATTTACAACATACACAGTTGTCCAAAGGAACCATTCCCCCTGATTTTTTCTCACTGAATCCTAACTTATTAGCCTTGTACCTGGACCTTAGTAAAACCTCAGCCCTGTGAGGCACTACTAAGACCTTTCAACTACTCTCCCAGATATAGGGCCTTCTGAGGCCACTAACTTTAAAACAAAACAAAACAGCAACTCACCCTCTGGATGAGAGAGACCAATTGTAGTGCAGTCCTTTTCTCTTTGCTTCAATTGCCCTCCCTTACATGTCTTTCTCTCTTTCTCTCCCCATCTCTCTCTCTCTCTCTCTCTCTCTCTCTCTCTTTAGATTTATTTATTTATACACTTTTAAGCACTTGGTTACAGGCCAGAGCCCTGGGAGGGTGAGAGAATTCACCAGAGACAGAGCAGGGAGAAGAACAGGCAGAAGGACCAAAATACACTGCTGAGGGGAGCAGCAGGCGAGACAGTAGAGGTCTGCTGCACCATGTGGGAATCTCCCTGGCCGGCTGGGAATTGAACCTGCGCTGCAGAGGCTGTGGACAGCCTCACAGTGCTGCGCTCAACCCACTGCGCCACCGGGGAGGCCATCTCTCTCTTTTTCTTTTTTTCTTCATCAATTCCCTTTCGTTGTTCTAAGCCATGCTAGTCTTCAGGTTCCACTGGGACACTTGTGGAATGGGGTCAGAGCACTAACCCATAGAAACACAAAGAAAACAGGAGGGCACATCTCTTGCTAAGACCCCTGGCCCACCAGCCTGACTACCTTCCCTGTCCCACTCATGCCTCCTAGGATGGACATCACCCGTCTGCTCCTGGCCACTCTGCTGGTCTGTCTGTGCTTCCTCACTGCCTGCAGCCACCTGGCACCTGAGGAGAAGCCCAGAGATGACAGGAGTAAGTCCTCCATGAACTTGTTGGATTTCCCTTCTGTCTCTATCGTGGGTAAGTAGCCTGGCTTGGGGCCTAGCTTCTGGATTCTATCTTATGATAAGAGGCTGCAGGAAGTCAAATCTGCTCCCCAGGCTGATACCAGGATTCATTGCCATAGTTATGGGTTCCTTCTTACTCATTCTGCAAAATAATACTAGAGGAATACAGTGTCTCTTGACTCATTTGATTGGGAAAGCACTGCATGCCCCCAATCTAATACATGGCTAGCATTTTAGAAGCTCTGAGAAAGCCCGAAATGAAGACCCTGTTGAACTTGGTTTAACTTAGCATTTCCTAAAACTTCCTGACTCACAGAACTCCTCTCAATGGTATCAAACTTTGGGTAATGCTGCAGAATATAAACAAGTGTGGGCTGATGAACCAGTCCTGTCATGCCAGGGTTGAGAATGATTACACAGAAAAATATCAAGGGCATTTAAAGCCTTTTTGATAATAGTAATTCCAGATAATACTTATCATGTGCTAGGCATTATGAAATGAATAATATTTTTATTCACATTTCACAACTGAGGAAATTGAGACTTATGAAAGGTAATAATTAACATAATACCACACAGTTCTTAATTGGCAGAACCAGAACTGAAACCCAGGTGTTTAGGCCCCAGAACCCAAGTTCAAAACTAATATCATTTACTGCTTTGCCTAGGAAAATATTCTAGCTATATCAGGGAAGTAAGGGCAGGGAAGGAGATCGGATACATCAATATTGACCACCTCTGATGTGCCAGATTTCCACTTTATAAACATACTTCATTTATCCTCAAAACAACACTGCAATATAGGTATTACAGTACCCCTATTCGCAGATGAGAAAATTGAGTCTTACGGCAGTTATGTTACCCAAGACCACATAGCTGTTATATGGCAGGATCAACATTCAAATCAAATCAGGTGTGCCTGGCTCCAGAGCACTTAAGAAATGGAAAACGTAATACAGAAAACACAGATCCATCCATGTAGGAGACACAGAGTCCATGTTCAAAGTATCACAGTATTCTTGACCTGCCAGACTAGAAACTAAAGAAGGGACATCTGGGGTGAATTTGAGTGACACAGGGTCAATTAGGTCAAGGAACCAGGCCCCTCATGAGTGCCACAGACAGATCCCAGGGTCTCCTTTGATTTTCCTTTTGCCTTTCCTCCGAGGGCAATTTTGCCTTTAGTCTCTGATTTCAGGTCAGCAGTCAGGCTAACAAGAACCTGCTGGTCTAAATCCCAAGCTGTGATTCATCTAGCCAACCCCCACTACTCTCCCCTACCCTGGGCCTTCCCAGAGCCCTTCTGCTCCTCCCACTTTACTGCAGCTCAGGGCCCTCAGAAACATCTGGCATTGGACCTTTTGTCTCTCTTTGAAGCTCTGAACAAGAAGTCTGAAAAGATCAGCAGAAAAGAAGCAGAAAAGAAATCTTCCAAGGTAGGCCTGGGAGTTCTCATTATTTGGGTAAAAATAGACAGAAAATGGGAAGACCCCCAAGCTCTGGCTCACAACTAAATGAAAGATTTTCCAGGTCAACAAAAGAAATTGAAAGTTATCTAAAGGCATCCTGGCCTAGATCCCTGAACCAGACCCCCAAGGTGATGAGGTTCACTGAGCAAAACAGCTTACCTGCTGAAAAGTAATTTCTTCTACTAACTAGCCCCCTGCCTGAAATCTCACCAGCACTCATTCTTTTGGATGAATACAATGATTCCTAAAATTAATAATTAATTTATTATTAATAAATATATATATTTATTAATAAATTAATAAATATATATATTTCAAAATATATATAACTGAATAAAAAAATGAGGATCAATGCTGTAAATAGTATGTAACCTTAAGAATAAATAAAATGGGGCCTCCCCTGGTGGCGCAGCGGTTGAGCGCTGGGCTGTGAGGCTGCTCGCAGCGTCTGCAGCGCTGGTTCATTACGCTGGTTCATTACCCGGCCGCTGGTGAGAGTCCCACCAAAAGAAAAAAAAAAAAAAAGAATAAAATGAAAAACAGTAAGTGAATTCTAGCTGATGTTGCCTGCCAAAGGTTCTAAATCTGAGGTTTATCTAAACTGTGCTTTAAAAGGCAGATTAGAATATGTTGGGGAGGCATTAATGGCATATGGATGCCAAACTGAGCTTTCAAGTTGAAAGAGATTGAAAAAGAATGCTTTCTCATCATTGGATTGCACATATGCTGGAATTTCCCACACTTTAGGAAATAGTAGCTACGGCCTTGCTGAAATGTATTTACTTCCAATTTAGTGTCCCTCAGTTTATCAGATCAACTATAACCAATACAAGGAGTCCTAGACTAGGCATTGGGAAGTAAAACCTGACAGTGCATGACCTTGAAAAAGCCCTTGCTCCTCTCAGGGCCTTCTGTGAAATGAATAAGCAGATCAGATTGTAACAGGGTGGTCCCCAGGAAAGGGGGAGGTTCCCTGCCCCACCCAAGGGAGGGTGGAACTGAGCAGGAAGAGGAGAAGCTGAAAAAGAGACTGAGGAAGGAAGCAGGATGGAGCCAGGAGACCTGGAAGAGGCGCATGGAGCCTAGAGACACGTGAAGAAACTGCGCTTGTCTTTTGGTCGTAGACTGGGTGACACAGATGTGGGTGAGACCCATGGGGAGGTGACAATGGCAGCTTTTATCTTGATGTTGATTTTGCTCTTTTCCTTCCGGGCTTGTCCGGTTGTTTGTGACCCTTTTCTGTGGGTCCCCACTGGAAGATGCTTTAGACTTGTGGCAGGCCTTGGGGCCTTGCTCTGGGCCAATCCCATTTGGATGGACTTTTACCCACGAGGGGATGGGTAACTTTTGGGCGCCAAATCTGTTATAGGACAGGGAGAGGGGCAGCCCAAACCCCCGCAAACCTGCCTATTCTGAATGGGTTCTGCCATCCACCGCATCAACACAAAACATATGAGACTTTAATGGGAAGGAACTTTAATAAAACTAGGAAACAATACAGGTAAGGCAAAGAGTCTAGTTTCTAAATGAAGCACCCAAAGTTACCCGTCCCCTCGTGGGTAAAAGTCCATCCAAATGGGATTGGCCCAGAGCAAGGCCCCAAGGCCTGCCACAAGTCTAAAGCATCTTCCAGTGGGGACCTGTTAGGGGGAAGTGATGTCCTGAGTTAATCCCATACAGGCTTTGTGGACTCCACCCCCACTCCAGACTAAAGCCATCAAGACTCTGGGAAAGACAAATCCCATCACCACCAAGGGAGGGTGGCTGGGACCTGAGGGTGGAGTTGGGCAGCCAGGTTGGATATAAAAAACCAAACACGTGGGCCTTGGTCTCTCTGGCTCGCGATCGCTCGCCTCCTGGCTTCACCGTTCCTGGCTGGCGGCCAGCTCTCAGAGCGCCATTTTGGGATTCCTAATCGGCGGATCGGGTAGGACTCATTTAAAACTTTGTCTCCCACTTTTCTCCCAGAGCTGTACATTTCCTCATTTCCCCTTCCCTTTGTAAATAAACCTTTTATTAACCTTTCGCGTGTGCCTGCAGTAGAGCATTGATAAGTCCTTTTAAGCGTGCGGGTGAGGACCCACAGTCAGGCACCCCGTTTTGTATCGGGGTTGCTCTACAACAGACCCACAGAAAAGGGTCACAAACAACCGGACAAGCCTGGAAGGAAAAGAGCAAAATCAACATCAAGATAAAAGCTGCCATTGTCACCTCCCCATGGGTCTCACCCACATCTGTGTCACCCAGTCTACGACCAAAAGACAAGCGCAGTTTCTTCACGTGTCTCTAGGCTCCATACGCCTCCTCCAGGTCTCCTGGCTCCATCCTGCTTCCTTCCTCAGTCTCTTTTTCAGCTTCTCCTCTTCCTGCTCAGCTCCACCCTCCCTTGGGTGGGGCAGGGAACCTCCCCCTTTCCTGGGGACCACCCTGTTACAATATGATAGACAAAATTGACACCTTTTTTTACACATTAGGTCCTGGGAATATAGTAGGGAACAAGAGTGACATATCCCTGCTCTCTGGAATTTACATTCTTGTAGGGAAAATAGATATATAGTAAGTAAACCAATAAATGGATATGTTCAAATAAGGATAAATTCTGATGGGATTTAAGCATGGAAATGAGACAGAATGAAGGCAAAAGTGATCAAGGAAAACAACTTAAAGACTGAAAAACTCAGTAATCTCAGCAGCAATAGCCACTGGAAATACCATGTGATGTGAGCCACACATATAATTAAATTTTTCTAGGGCCTCCCTGGTGTTGCAGGGGTTAAAGTCTCAGCACTATCAAACTATCACCAGCCACGGCAGCAGGAGTTGGATCCTCCTCCCCCCCACCCAGCTGACCCACATGGCACAGCAGATCTCTCCTGTCTCATCCTGCTGCTCCTCTCAGCGGTGTATTTCAGTAGATCCATGTGGTCTCTTCCCCACCCTGTCTCTGGTGAATCCTCTCAACCTCCACACCTCTGGTCTACACGCCAGTTCTACACCCAGAGTTAAATAAGATTTGAATATTCAGGTCTTCCCTTGTGCTAACCACATTTCAGGTACTCAGTAGCCATATATGGCTAATGGCTACCTGTGTTGGACAGCACAGCAAGGAATGTCCCCAGGAAAGGGAGAAGCCAACTCACAGACCCTTCAGCAGGGACTCATTTGCTGTGTTGGGCAAACAATGGAAGGCAGGTGGGAGAATGTGTCATTGATTAGTCAGAGGTGGGCAGGGCCAAACCATAGTGGAATAATGGGCAAAAATAAAGTTTAAAGTTTATGTTTCATTTTTAAGGGCAAAGAGCTTTGGTGATGGAAGGCACTTTAAGCCCAGTTGAGATGCCATCATTTTCAGAGGTCCCAGGTGCACTTAAAGGATGTACTGAAAGGGTGCCAGAGCAAAGACAGATTAGGTCCCAGGGTGGCGGTGGCAGTGGCAGTGAAGTATGTGATGTGGGCCAGGATCTGACAGGGATTGCAGATACACTGGAAAGGGGAAGACACAGATATGGCAGAGTTAAAACTGGGGTTTGAAACTGACACTTTCTTACATGATGGGAAATACTGTAGAACTCAGTCTGTGTTTATCAAAATTATTACCCTGTGCCTACCTCTACTAGCTATCCCACTATTTCTTTGAAATGGTTTCCTGAAAATAATTAAAAATACAAAACAACCGTGAGCTGAGTGAGATTCCCCTAGGGAGAGGAGGGGGCCAGGCCCTGAGCCAGATACGTTTTGATGGGCATGGTGGGGGGCATGATTGGGAGTGCAGGAGGGGTCATTGGGGGGTGTCTCGAGAACAGCGGGTAGCGCGTGGGGGGGTGTCGTCAGGGCCTCGATAATCCAGGAGTTCGTTCCCAGGCAGAGGTGAGGACGGATGGCGGCTTGGGATGGCTCAAGCAGCCCCGGTGTTTCCCCGCAGAAAAAGGCTTCGATGACGAAAGCGGCGCGACCCCGGCCCCAGTCGCCCGCCGCTTGCGTGGCCACCCGCGACAGCTGCAAGCCGCCGGCGCCCTCCTGCTGCGACCCCTGCGCCTACTGCCAGTGCCGCCTCTTCCGCAGCGCGTGCTCCTGCCGGGTGCTCAGCCCCCGCTGCTGAGCGCGCCCGCCTCCCGGCTGCGGGGCTGGGCGGGCCCCAGGAGGCGGGACTTCCTGGGGCGGGGCTCCCAGGGGACCCTGGAGGCCCCCAGTGGGTGGGTGACCTCTAGTAGGTGTGGCTTCCTCGGGCCTGCGTGGGCGGGGCTCCCGGGAGGCGGGGCTTCACGGAGAAGGCTTGGGCTAGGCTAAGATCTAAATATATGAAGGCTGCTTGAAGGTATGTTGTGGCTGTTTCTTTAAAGAACTGGAAAGGTTCTTTTCACTTGGCCCAGTCCCCTTCACCGCGGAAGTCCCTTGGCACACAAGCTACTCACCTGGTCCTGGGGAAACCCAGTTACCTCTGTGCCAGGTAACCCGGTTATCTCTGCACTCCTGGTAAGCACTTTCATGATGCTCTATTCCTTTACACCTGGGACACCCAGCGCTGCTTCCAAAACCAGGCACTGCAGATGAGTCAGGCAGAAAGAAGCTTCTAAGGAATCGCCATTCAACCTTCACCCCTCCTCCCCTCCTAGAGAACTCCCTTCACCCCTGGAAAAACAAGATTACAATTGCATACACAATCTCACATGGCTATCAATCCTGGGGGGAGTGGGGTGCCAGTTTAAAAACTGGGCTGGCTGGTTGTGACTGGCTGTTGCAGTAGGTCCCTATAACCAGACTCTGGCCTGAGTAACCTAGGGCCTCAGAAAACTCCAAAAAATGGGTGCCACCTGTGCAGCCCCTTCCCTTTCTCCCAGAGGTGCTGGGACCTAGGGGAGTTTCTCCAACTCCCAGACTAAATAAACACTCTTCGTCCCCTGGCGTTTTTTTCGTTGGGACAACCTAACATTTGGGTTCGCAAATAGGAAGCAGGGGGTTCGGGAATCCTTCATTATCCTCTAGCTCTGTCAGCCAGTAAGGAGGCAGTGTACCTGGGCTTGGTGAGTAGGCCCTGGATTATCAGGGGCCTGTTGACCAAAATTTCTTTTTTTTTTTTTAAGATTTATTTATTTATGCATACAAGAACCGGGGTACAGGCCAGATGCGTGGGAGGGTGAGCAGATTCACCAGAGACAGCGGGGAACGAAGAGGCAGACTGACTGAAATACACTGCTGAGGGGAGCCCGGGCAAGGCAGGAAAGGTCTGCCGCGCCTTGTGGGATTCTTGCAGGCCGACGGGGATCAAACCGAGGCTGCAAACAAGGCTGCAGAGGCTGCGGAGAGCTTCACAGTGCTGGGCTCAACCGCCTGCGCCACCAGGGGAGGCCCCTTGTTGACCAAAATTTCATCCTGAGAGCATCTCTGAGTCTATGAGAAACTGGGTGCGGTACTCTCTGGAAGGGCCCTTGAGAGAGGGCCACCTAGTATATTGCTATGGAGAGGAAGTAGCGGTGAGAGCAGGGTCTGTGAGGAAGGACCAACCAGGATGGGGGAGTCACGTGGAAATTTCCAGTGCAAGAACTTCAAATGACACCATCTATTTACAATGCTTGGCTGTGGGGCAATATGCCAGTCAGGAGAAAGGATGAGATGCCACCTGTCAGTGCCCCCCACTACCCTTAGCAGCTGGGATCTGCCTCTCCCCCAAGGAATCACTTTAAGCAAGAAAGAGGAAGCTAAAACATTATTATAAGAAGGTAATATTTTAAAAGCCTGTGCACAAGAAAATGCTAGAGAGGCTATAAGAAGTTGCCTCGGCCCTAATAACTACCATGTATCTATCCTTGGAGGCGAGGACAGTGGCGCTCACAGGCCAGTACAGGTGGGACCACTTCTCCTGGTCCACTTGTCCACTTGCAATCTTCTCTCTTTCCAATTCTTAAAGCTGCCTCCTTTCCACAGACCTTTTACCAACCAGAGACCCAGGTGTAACCTGAATGGTCAACATAGAATCAAGGAGGCAAACATCAGATAGAGTGGGAACAACCTGGACAGAGCACGAGAAAAAAGATGGACACTCCAGGCCAGGCTGGAGACAGTTCTGCAAACTAGGCAAGTCTCTGCATTTCTCTTGGCTTCCGTTTACTTATCTATAAAATGTGAAAAAATCCTCTTCTGTTATTTCAGATAGTTGTTGCTTCTTATTCCTCAACAGGAAACACAGATTGCCAGCTACTTGTTTTGTTTCCGTCATTTAGGTTGCAAGCCCACAGGGCAAGAACCTTTTGTTCCTTGTACCACAGTTGCTACTGAGTAAATGTCATTGGTAATGGCAATATTGGAAACATATTGCAACCACTGTATCTGTGTTTGCCAGACATTGCTGGCCAACTAGGCACCATTTGACTCTCAGGGGTGAGTGAGGCAGGGATGCAAAATCAAAGCCCCAGTTCATTAGAGAAAGAACCAGTTGGCTGCCAGGTAGAGACAACTACATGAAAAAAACAACCCATACATTCAGCAAAGATGTACTGAGCACCTACTGTGTGCCAGGCATTGTGTCAGGTACTGTGAATACTATGGTTAACAGGTCCAATATGGATACCCTGATTACAGAGCTTGTGGCCCAGTGACCTTGTAGAGGCTAAAACCATTATTAACATAGTGGTCTGTAGCGGCAGGAAGCACAGGGCAGGTTCTCTATGACAGAGCAGACAGGGTAAAGGAGGAGTCCTAGGAGCCCTCGGTGGCTTTTGCAGACTTTTATTGGAATTTACCAGGTACATGGCAGGGAGGGGTGCCGGGGGGGCCAGGAGGCTGGTACACCTCCTATCCCCGATATATCTTCACTCTTTCTGGGCTCTCTGGTGTTCTCTTGAGGTCTCAGCTTCTCTTTCACACTTTTGCTTTTGTTCTGCTTCTGATGGCGTCCCCGTGACTCCACCCCCACCACGCCCTTATAAGCCCAGTCTTAGCCCAGGTGAATCCCATCTACCTATGCCCACACCCTATTCCAGGTGCCCGCCATCAGGCATGCATTCAGGACCCCAATGATCCATCATTAATCCTAACGGTGGGAGGGCAGAAAAGCCTGATATTTTTTCATTTACCCTACAGGTCTATTTTTGCTTTTGTTAAAAATTCAACTATCTGGTAGGTATATCTGCCCAAGTTCCCTTTCAGATCCTTAGACTCTCCATCTTTTCAGAATTCCCTTCAAACTTCAGGGTCCTAAAGACATAGTTCTAGGGCCCCAAATCACCTGCCACTATGGTTGTTCTTAGGATACTTCTAGCCCCAGAAATTCTGCTACATATTAAAATTTTAAAGAGAGGGCGGACCTCCCTGGTGGTTGCAGGCAGTTGAACACCGCCCGCCGCAATGTGAAGCTGCCCGCGGCCGCTGCAGCGCAGGTTTGATCCCGGCCGACTTGCGAGAATCCCACATGGCGCGGCAGACCTCTCCTGTCTTGCCTGCTGCTCCTCTCAGCAGTGTATTTCGTCAGTCTGCCTGTTATATGTTCCCCGCTCTGTCTCTGGTAAATCCTCTCACCCTCCCGCGCATCTGGCCTATACCCCGGTTCTTGTATAAATAAATCTTAAAAAAAAAAAAAAGAGGTTCATTTCCTCAGTTGAAATCTTATTACATAAAGTTATATCTAACACATAATACATTAAAGCAGTTTTAATTGGTTTTACACTATAATGTCCTCAGAAATTTGAAATCAGGGATTAGAGATTAATACTTGTCCTCCTTAACCCACCTCCATAACCAGCGTGTTTCCATCATTTTGGTTGCATGATACTAAGAAAGGTCTAATTCACACAGAAAAGTTGTTGCTAAGAGGTTTTAACAGCCGTGACCTCAGAATAGTGTTCCATTGAACAGAAACAAGAGGTTTATTTCAAAATCTGGCCCAGGTGGTCTCTAATGTGTTAAAATTAGGTGCATAGTACTTTTAAATACATGCATGCTTTTACTTTTAAAAAACTTCAGTGTTCTTAAAAGTAGACATTGAAAGTTACGCTTCTACAGGAGTAGTATACTTCAAAACACTGCCCTGCGGGAGTAGCAGGGCCATAGAAGAGCCTTAAACCCCCTTCCTGAACTCTGGACAACAGACCAACCTAATTAGCAATCTCTGGGTGCTTATTCTAAGTATGTCCATTTGTTTGAACAACCAAACATCTAGCACCTCCACCATCAGGAAATTACCCCCAGTCATAACAATAGGAACTTTATAAAGGAATTTAATGCCAAGAGCAAATTCCCATGTGTGAAAGGAATAGGATAAATCAAGAAAAGAATTTGATTTTAACTGAATTAGCCTAACCAGCTGTAGTAAATTTCAGATTAGTCTGGAATAAACTTTTTTTTTAAGATTTATTTATTTATTTATACAAGAACCGGGGTTCAGGCCAGATGTGCGAGAGGGTGGGAGGATTCACCAGAGACAGAGCGGGGAACAGAACAGGCAGACTGACAAAATACACTGCTGAGGGGAGCAGCGGGCAAGACAGGAGAGGTCTGCAGTGCCATGTGGGACCCTCACCGGCCGGCCAGGATCCAACCAGTGTTGCAGAGGCTGTGGACAGCTTCACAGCATGGTGTTCAACCGCCTGCACCACCAAGGGAGGCCCTGGAATAAACTTGTTCCTCCCCTTCATTTTCCATGCATGAAGTATATTTATAGTGGTGATGATGACAATGAATGCCATTATGTCTTATTGTTTGGGGAGCCCAGCAAATACCTTCATTCCTTTGGCTCCTGAAGGTTTTCACACCTTCTAGAGTTCCACTTTAGAATCTGGAACAATGGTTGTATAGACTACAGAGCAGTAATAAAAGCACGACTACTAGAAAGTTAATTAACCTGACTAGTTGGTGAGATTGCATTTACAAGCTATTGGAGCAGCTGATTCCTCCCCAAATCAAAAAGTACAATTTTGTGTCTTTGGGCTACTACACGTAGGGGGAAAGTTTAGTTTTTGTTCTTTTTCTCATTATTTATCCCAATGTCTAACAATATCTGGAACTCTGCATTGTGTATACATGTAAGAGGCTGTGAAAGAAAAATAGAGATGGGCCCTAGGAAGCGAAGGCAGGGAGTGCAGCCCCTGGGGAACTGGGAAATAGAGGGAAACTTGAGGAGAGGAAGGAGACAATGCATTCATTGATGTTGGATTCCAAGGTAGTCTTGGTTTCCCAGTCTTTTTTTTTTTTTAAAGATTTATTTATTTATGTAACACTGGGTACAGTCAGAAGCCTCGAAGGGTGAGAGGATTCACCAGAGCCAGAGCGGGCAACAGAACAGGCAGACTGACGAAATACACTGCTGAGGGGAGCAGCAGGAGGGCAGGAGAGGTCTGTCGTGCCATGTGGGACCCTCGCCGGTGGCCGGGGATCGAACTGGTGCTACAGAGGCTGTGGGCGCCACTGGGGAGGCTCTGGTTTCCCAGTCTTAAGTGATCTGGGAACCAGTTGATCTTGAAGGTCAGTCAGTACTATTATACACCAAATAATTCTCAGTAATTTCACTCAGGCCCAAATCATGGAGCCCCCTGACTCCTTTACCCTCTGAAAGGCCGAGATGTGCTCCCACAACCTCTCTCAGATGCCTGTAAGCTTGTATACTGGCTTTGGCTAAGAACCCAGGGCTGCTACTGACAGCCTGAGATCCTTGTGATCTGAGGCTATCCTACACTGACTAATGTCTGAGCAGCTACTTCAAGCCAAGGTAAAACCCAGTCTCCCTAATTTGCTTTTTCCTTTTTGTTCTCACATTTTATTTGCATGTATGTTTACTGGGAAGAGAAGCAAAACATAGACTTCATAAGAAAGTGACAAGAATCTTGAGTTCCTTTAAATGTGGGGAAGAACCATTTTAAAGAACTTCTTTCCCCACAGAAAGCTGGCAGGTTAGGGCTTACTGCCTCCCACCCCGCCTTAGTCATTCTTGCTTAAGCTGTTCTGCCTGGAATGCCCTTGCCTTTAATCCCTCCTGTTAGAAACCTTCAAGTACCATCTCTTCCCCACTGCTTTTCTCCTACTGCTGCCTGGTACAGAACTCTAAAGCTGGACAGAGAAAGTGAAATGCCAGAAGATGGTGTAACAGTTGGTGTGCCTGTTTCTAGCTTGAGATCCTAGCTGGCTGGGGTCAGGTCTCAGATATCCCAGCAGCCCCATGAGGTCTTTCATTCAATGGTTGATCCTTAGAATAGCCTCCAGTTACCATTCCCAGGAGGGCTTTTATTTCTCTTTGATTTCCAAGAGCAGAACAGGGATTCAGTAAATCACCATTTAGGCAAATAGGGAGCTCAATTTCCTGTGATTTGGTCATGATAAAGCCTTTTCTAAACTGTGACTTTAGAAAAGCCACTTAAATATCTAAACTTTTCCATTGTTTTCTGTAAAATTAATGCAATCTTGTTGTGAGAAGGAAAAAAAAAACCTCAACTATAAAACATCTAGCACATAGTTGGTGCTCAATAGAGTCAACCCAAAGTGAAAATGGAGAAAAAGAAAATATGAACTGGATCACCAAAAATAAGGTGGAGGAAATAAAAACAAGCAGGTTACAATAAACAAGTTAAATTCACCTATTAAATGACAGTCTTAGATTGGGTTAAAAAAAAAAAAAAAGCAGGCTTATTTACAAGAGCTACACCTGAAGAGATGAGCTCCATCTTCACACCACAGGATTGCCTGCCTGAAGCCCTTATCACCCCACACTGCAGACTTCATCTTTGCACTGCTTCATCAGCACACAACTGTAACCCCTTGTTCATGCCATACACTACTAGCAGTATATTTATATAATAAAGGCTCAAAATTCTTTTCGGCACCAAAATTTTTATTTACAAACTTTCCTGCTCTCCTTTAACATTATAAAACCAAATTAGTCTCTTTTTGATCCAGAGTTGTGGATCCATCATGTTCCAACGTGGTGGCAGATGTATGCCTGCTTTTATGTTTCCTGGCCCTGCTCAACCTCTGGCTGTCACTTCTCTTGTCCTTGTCCTCCAGCAGTATATTCTAACCACTGTAAAACAGGAACTGAAAAATACCAACCTCATTTTTCTGAGGTCTAAAAGAATGCCCGGCCCTGGGTCAGGCTCTCAGGAACATTACAACTCTTAACAGTTCCTCCCTGCTCCTTCTCATCTGTATGGGCTGAGGAGCCAGTGAACTTGCAAACCAGAAACATGAGTAGAGTCCACAGGCCAGATGAGGACCTCCAGAGTAAAGTGCATGGGCTTTGTAACCACCACTGCCAACTTCCAGTCTAAGAAAGGAATGAGTGAGCAGTTCCAAGACCCCCAAGCTCATGGTTTCCTGTGGGTGTCTCCTTTACACCCTCTGTCATGACCAGGGTTTGAGGGGCGTCTTAATTCCCCAACATTCTTAGAACAGTATGAGTGATGCAGCAGAGGCAAAAGACTGAGCAACCAGCTCCTGGGAGTCAATAGGAGACAATAACAAACCAATCTCAAAGTTGGTGCCATTTGCTCTTGGACAAGAGAGGTGAGACTGGGCAAGGACAGCAGCTGGAAGACAAAGGGCAGGCCTGGTTCTCAGTAGCGGTAGTGATCAGGCTTGAAGGGGCCATCACGGGGCAAGCCCAGATACTGGGACTGCTTCTCTGTCAGCTTGGTCAGTTTCACATTCAATTTGCCCAGGTGGGCTGCAGCCACGGCTTCATCCAGCTGGGAAAAAACAAAGAAAGACCTGGAATCAGTGCCATTTTCTAGGACCTTTATCTGCATTCAACTGCCAGTAGAGGTAAAAAGCTGTACTGTTGTGGTATTTGTGTGTTACCTCATTCTGTCCTCACAGTCTGCCTCAGTGCATGTGTTGTTTTGGGCTGCCTAGCTCCCCTTCCTCAGAGGGAACCATGCTACATCCTCTTCTCTAAGCAGTCCTGGTGAGACCATCAATTACATCTCTTTCCTCACCCTCCACCAACCCAAGTAGCTAACCGAAATGTTTCTCTGAATTGATCTATGGTCAGGACATATTTTCCATGACAGGAGAAACAGGGGCAACCCAGTCTACTGAATTCCTAAAAGGGAGGGAATTAGCCTCAGCTCGCCAATGGTACGTCTAATTAACAAGTGAAGTGAATGTAAAGGAAAGAACCCAAGACAGAGCTCTGATGACAGTGAATCCTTGATCCAGTGTCTAAACCTTTAACTCCTCTACTATATATAGCCAGTAGTGTTTCATTTTTGGTTAAACTGGTTGTAGTTGTTTCAAAATATATCCTTAAATCCTCTGTCCTTGAGTTGGGGTTATAATAGAGCAACACATAACTAATGTATCAATTTGAACAGGGTTTCTACCACTTGTAACCCAAAAGGATCCTGGCTACACTGTGGCAATCAAGGCTCAAGAAAGGTAGACTGACTTGCCCAAGGTCACACAGCTAATGACAGATCTAGGATCTGAACCCAGGTACTTCTGGCTCCAAAGCCCCAAAACTGATCTTAAGCCTGTCAACTTATGGCCTCCAAGGCAGTTCTGAAGAAAGAGAACCAAGGAGAGCAGAAGCTGGGGTTAGAGAAGGCTGGTTTTTAACTCTGACCAGCACAGAAATGCATAAAAGGGACCTGAAAAGAAGACTAAGTGGTTGCCCTTAGAGAAGAATGAACGCTTGAGCATCTCAGCTTCTAGTTCTAGATGGGGTCTCTCTCTCTGCCCCCAGGAGCCCAAGTTCCATGCCATAACCACATGACAGCCTTTAACGACAGACCAGCCAGGGCGTTAATTCCCAAGAGGTTTCACACCCACTGTCTCATTAAAGCCTCACAAACACCACTCAGAAGGA